ATTACTTGTGTTTCGGCTTTACATCAGCGTATTACTTGTGTTTCGGCTTTACATCAGCGTATTACTTGTGTTTCGGCTTTACATCAGCGTATTACTTGTGTCATCTGTGTGGGTAGTTTCACGTTTAATAATCAAATTGCTGCAAGACGTGCTCATCAATGTGAGTCGAGCTCTGTGAAAGTAGACTTTTTTTTCCCCACAAAGAAATCTGGTGATTTCAGTCGGGCCATATCGGTGTGAAATCTATTCATATTTCGGAGCACCAGTGTCTTTGCCTCACTTTAAAGAGCTTGTTGGCGATACTTGTAGATAGTCAACTGTCATCTCACTTCATCTTCATCTCCCACACAAACATATTTTGATTCCAGGAATGTTGATATTCCTGTAATAGGTGTTGGGACTTCTGCAGCGTCTGTCATAATCAGTGGTGAGTTTACAAAGACTTTACATGCATGAATTATCCTCGAGGGACATCTGGTGTTTGTGGTACGCATAATTAATTACAAGTTATCTTGTGGTATAATTGGTCCACTTTGTTGACCCCAGGCGACTCGGGAACTTATGAAACATAACAAGCAAAACATATTTAGAGATCAAAGGGAAGGGGAAAAAGTCAGATGTAAACGCTGAATGTTTTATTTACATGATGGCAGCTACAAACAGACAAAAGTAATAATTAGGTGAGTGTTAACACAATATAAAAGATATGAGGAAACTAAAGTGTGACGAGGCACATTTAGCATTTACTCTGACATGTCCCGACATGATCACATCTGTGGTTTTCACCAAAGTTTCAATGTTTTGGTAGGTGTCTCAAGTAAAACACCTGCTGAGCCCAAACGAAACAGGTGTCCTACATCCTCTGGCTTGTTGCTCACATAAACAGAGAGAGGCTGGATGCGACTGCAAGACGAGCAGGCTTGTGGGAAAGGGGGGGACCTGCACCTGCGGTTTCACAATTAAGTTTCCCTTCTGTGGGTGAAGCAAAAACAACTAAGATCACTCAAATCAGAGATTAAGATTAGACACTTTATAGCCGTAACACCACCAACGCCAGGGCTGACAAACTAGATGAAGTAAATGTCAAGTGAGGAGGATACTCTTGTGGTGAAAGATGATCTGTAACAGGAGTACAAGCTGAAATGGGGAAATCCATCAGCAGAAGAAGTATTGTACATTTAGATATGTTCACAGGACACAACATATTGATTCAAGGAAAACCGGGGTTGTTGGATTCAGTGGGGGGGGAGGTTTTCTTTTGGTGTTTTTGGACAGGCTGGGGATTTAAAATTCAACTGACAGAAAAAGGACAAGGAGTGATTTGAGTTTGTGGAAGAAGAAGTGTTAGCAGCAGCCCACACACATCCTTTGTTACAAAACCCAAAGAGGATGTGATAAAAGTAAAAAATAAAAACGCACACAACCGTAATTATGGTTAAATGTTGATAAGAGGATAACATTCAGACATGTTTGGTCTGCTTGCAGCCAGCTGCTCCTACAGTCTGTACAGCACCGGTAGCTCAGAGCCCGAGACAGCTGGATGTTGCTGCTGACTCAGGTGTGCGAACCACGACTTAACCCCACCCCACACACACTTCTATTTTCAAAGTCTGCGTCCAAAGTCTCCGACACTAAAGCTCCAGATGACATTTATGAAACCAGTCAAAAATACAGCAAGAAATCAGACAGTGAGACGCTTAAACGCACACGATTTGATAGAAATCAGATAATGGCAACAAGTTTGAAGCCTTCTATTTATCGTGTAGCATTATTTATTCATTAAACTATTCTTAACAACATTGTATGTTAAGTATTAACATAAGCCGGTTTTATAAAAGAGAAGAGGACTTTGTTTTGTTACACTAGAGCAAACAAAGCCGGCATAACGCTGCTTCAGTTGAGATTCAAGATGACATCATGCTGGCGTGACGTGTAACGCAACCGTGTCTAGTGTGTGTGTATGTATGTGTTGTCCCTTTCACACAGATGTTGATTGGTCTCATTATCAGACTGCTCTCAGTGGGTTCTAGAGACACGATGGGAAACTCTCGGTCGATCAGCTGACGCAGAACATGCACAACGATGAAAGCGGTTGAAAACGAATATCGACCGATGGCGATCTGTGGCCCATCGATCAGGTCGTCCTCAGACATGACCGCCTGTAATCACATCTGTGACTAATGTCACTAAAAGGAGTTACTGGAGCCTCAGATTTGAACTAAATTTAGGGCACAAGAGGTGATTAAAATGTGGATAAAGCAAACGTTACAGAAAGTGAGACGAGGAAAGAAATCTATTTATTCTAAATTAAATGTCAACCATAACCAGTGTGTTCCAGATCTGAGCTGTAACGTATCTCAGGACCAGTATGACTAAAATAAAAATATCTGAGCAGCTAAAGTGAAAGTCCCTTCCAATGACGCAGCACCTTAAATCAAATGTGTTTCTGTTCATAGTAGCAGTGACTGCATCAACACTTCATTACAGACGTCGTGCTCTTCAGCGGTGACCACGGGGGGGGAAAGAGATGACAGAGAGAGAAGCACAATTAAATAGATCATAGTTTAATGCTGAAGATGAACCCACGCACTGTGTGCCCTCACCTCAAGTCCGTCATGTCAGTAGCTTTTCTCATTTACGGCACAATATGACACTGTTTCATACACCCACACACACACACACACACACACACACCCCCACACACACACCCTCACCCACCCACTTGAGTTCATTTAATATTATCATCCACAAATGTATATTCTTTTGTCTCAATTCTACGTCACTACTTAGTTAAATATATACACAATGAAGGAGGAAGAGCCGAGTTGATTCTCCTTTCCTTACGATTAAAGTTCATTTTCAATTCGAGGAAAACAAACAAACATTTTACCGATGTCCAATGGATTTAATTTCCTGACTTTCCTTCAACAGGAATCTACTCTTCAGTTTCTTGGACTGTGAGCGCCAAACAGCTGCCAACGCGGCCGCCAACGCGGCCATACTGCGTCTTCCATCGAGCCGTCGGTGGCTCCTTGTCGCCTTCCCTCCTTGAGTGTCTACTTCTCTCCGAGCTCCATCCTTCCTCCTCAGTTGGAGGAGAAGCCGGACTGGGACGGAGAATTTGGCACAACCAGGAGGAGACGAGGGAGACGTTCTTACAGCAGATACCGTCCTATCGTGTACAGCAGTCCTGAGAAGTTTATATAGGTGTCCACTCAAGTCTTAACAGAGTGACAGGGGCCCAGGGGGTGGAGGGGGGAGAGAAATACACAGTTTTTGTTCCACCCTGTCGATCCTTTTACTCCCTCTGCATCTCTTTACCTCGCGGGCCTGGAGAAGAGAGGAGGGCCCTGGTGTTAAAGTCCTGGCCCTTGTCTCTAGGGGTGAGGGAGGTTCATGCGGTCCTCTATCAGAGTGTTGTCGGGGCCCTGCGCCTCCATGCACTGCTTCACAGTGGCTACGACTCCAGACAGACGCCTGTCCAGGGCCGCGAGGTGCGGCTCAGCTAGGACCGGCTGGATGGGGTCGAACGCCAGCGCCTGTCGCATGGCTGAACTCAGAGCGCCGCTCCTCAGCAGGTTCAGCCTGTTCCACGTGGACACGCGGACCCTGACGGGGCAAAGTGAGAGATGTCATGTGAGAAAGAGGCAGGTCATAAAAATCAAGAATTGAGATTTGAGCCTTTCCCGAGTACTCACATGCAGCACTGATAGAGTGGTGCGAGGATACTTCGCTCATCCAGAGCCGCGTTCCCAAAGCTGCAGAAGAAAAAAACATGATGAAACAAAATTACAAAAAAAAAAAAAAACGTAAGTAAGGCATCTGGAGCCAGAGGTCTGTCTGCACTGCGGCTAGGAGAATCCATCAAAATGCATTAGCCACACTCCACACACTCTGTAAAACACTCTTTCTAATGCTACGACACGCTCCACTCAGCCAACCACAGAGCTCATCTGTCTGGGCTCTGTGTCTGCTACGACAGCAGCTTCCCTGTTATCTCGTGAGCTCCTCTGAGGAGCCTTCAGGGTTAACACTAGGACCACAGCATCTGGTAAAAACACATCAACCACCTTTCAAACGGACTTTGGGAAAACAACAACACATGATTACTATTAAGCATCAATAAGTTATTTGGGTCTTTAAGTGTAACAAGTACAGTCCTGAGAACTGTTGATAACAGTAACGATGAATGAATCCGTATATCTTCACACACTGAGGTTCAGGGTTCTTCTCTTTCAGCGATGCTCCCGTCATGTTGCGTTTCCAACGGTTGGTAAACATTTTTTTTTTACAGAAACAGATATTACATTTTTTTTTCAATGTATGATTATTATCATGCCAAGAAACAGGCTTCTTTGATTATCCGCCAACTGTGATGCATTCTTGAAAAAATGTTTCCATGTGAAGCGGAACATTTTCCCCGGTTTGAAGTTATTTTTGGTTTTAGAAGATAAGAACAAAGAGGGAATAAAGACTCGACGTCCTCACTTCATGGAAGCGGCGGTTCAACATGAGTCAGCAGTTTCAGTGCCGATAAATCAAGAGGTGGGCATGCGGGAAAATGTCAAAATAAACTGCAATTGAAAATGAAAATAAGACTTCATGTAAAAGATGAAAAGCTGAACTTTGTGGTTGTTCTGTTGTTGATGTGCAAAGACATGTTGGTTGAAATGTGCAGAAAAAGTGCACGATTTCCCCGTAAGCCAACTGCTGTTCATGTTAATGCTGAAAGTAAATCTAAATCATTTCATTTAGTGTGAGACAGGGATTCAGACAGTACTTCTGTACCCACGTGGCTGTTTTTTTTTGCTGACTCGTATGAAGTCAACGTTGATTGCATAATGTACTGACTGCAGTGTGATGACACCGCTGACATTTGGATTGGTTCTCTAAAAGCATCACTTTCACTCTGCCACCAGGTCGCGACCTGCAGGGAAGGTGATGACTTACGGCACAAAGGGAGCAGACAGAGTTCATCTCATACTTATAAAGGTTATAAAATAACACAGAGTCTCTGTAGTCTGGACCAAGAGGAAGAGGGGGAGTGATGAAACCCGGCTGCTAAGAGACATCAGTAATGAACAAAACCTGCCTACGTATTAACACCAACTACCGGGTGTTTTACTGTAATCACAGCACTGAGATCAGGGGTTCTAGTTGAAATGGCGATTCTTATGGTCGTCTCTTGCTTTGGACAGCAGCTGTTTGGTTAGAATCCTTCACATGAACACTCGCCTCTTTGCGTTGTCGAGCAGGATGAGCATGCTGGCGCCGCCGTCATCCTGGAAGCTCTCGTAGTGATGCCGATCGGCGTTCCCGATGAGGTAATCAAAGATGGCCGTGTCGATGACGTCCAGCAGCCTCGGCCCGGCGTCGTACGGAGGCATCTTCTTCACCGCCTCGCAGTAACTCTCGTCGTACTCCCACCTGGATGACGATGACACATACACACACCGTTATCTTCATCACTACAACCTCCAACCTAAAGGTTACCGATACGACGATAGTCTGACTCAAATGATCTGCCTTCACAGAGAGATCCGGAGCATCGTTTAACGCTCCATGGCTCCAGTCTCCCTGCATTCAGAGCAGCAGCACCGCTTCTATTTTGTTAGAATATAATGCAATACATATACTATGTCTTTTTATATTCTTTCTTTTATGGAACCTCCCAGAAAAAGCATTTCACATGATCGTACTTGCACAACCCGCAGTGGAAACAAACATCTTGAATCTTGAAATGTTTAGCGCCGCTGCTATATACAAATCCTAAGCAGCGAGTCGGGATGTTGAACGGTAAAAACACAACTCCTGGTGATCTTCACCTCTGTTTTGGAGGAACGAAATAAAGAGTAAAAGGCGAACCAGCTTTAAAAGTGACGTATTTTCTACTAGAATAAGTGCTGTAGAGTAACTGGTAAATAGTTAAAGTGTTACATTTGAGAACAGGATTCGGTGTGATTGTTACCTTGTAGGGCTGTCTTTTTAAAATAGGGAATCATTTGGTTGCACTATTCAAAAACTTCCAAAATAGTTTCAAAGAAATTATGAAAAACAATTGTGATAAGATTGTGGATTTTATTCCACAGAATTAAAGCTCTAATTTATTCATTTTAATATCACGTTCTCATCAATGTCCGACCTCAACAGTGTGTGTGTCTTGCATATTTTTGTGATCTTACATAATCCTACATTTCTGCATTTTGATCAACAGAGAAGGTCTGAGGAGGTTATGAGCTGCTGAGCTCAGCGAGGTTGTTCGGCAGGTCGACAAGAAGCTGAACCAGCATTCAAGTCAAATTCTGTCAAAATCCACTCGTCAGCTATTCTGTAAAGTCCGCTTTTGCTCGATGTTCAACGACCGAGCAGTGGGTGGGAATCGTCAAGAATTTGCAAAAATCCTGTGAATTTCCCCGCTGCGGGACTAATAAAGGATTATCTTATCTGAAATTCTCTTTGATGTCAATATAACATGCTGATGGTCCCCTGCTGTATCGACACTTAGCCATCATTCACAGAACCTGTGGGCAGCAGAACCATAAGATAAGTGATCAAAGCAGGCTGCACCCTCACCCTCACTCGTCCTCCGCCACAGGAAGCTTTTCTCAGAACAAAGGCGAGAGTCATTGCCCTTTGAAGTTAGGAAAGTACAGGTGGACCTAAAATACCACCACTATAGAACGCTGTTGACGGTCAGTTCTATTTTCCTTCCTTCTGAAGATCAATAACAATAATTCAGGTTTTTCCTGATTTTGGCACACCCACCTGGCCAGCTTCCCCTCTCGGTAGGTGCGTCCCCAGGGGTGTCTGTGTTTCTGCAGCGGCCAGACGTCCGGCAGCCAAAGGGTTAACGAGCCCTCCATGATCTCTCCCTCCGCACACGCCGGCTCGCTCTCCCGACAGTAATAACACTTTCCATAGAAACACGTGTTGTTACCTGGAGAGAGAAGAGGTGCCCATGAATATGAATCTAAACGTTGCACCGTGAGGCAGCGTTAACGTTGACAGCTATTTTAGTCTCATTTTAGTCATTTTTAACCTTCATAGGTTAAGTTGGGGGCGTGAAGCATTAACGACACCTAAAAGCAAAATACTCTGCTGCAAATATTTTGCATCAAAACTATTTATACCAACAGCGATGGAAATTTGCGTCACCTTTTCAATAAAAGGTTAAAAATAGATTTGTGCAGGCGGAAGACCAACAGGATCCTATTGACCCAGAGCAGCATCTGGCAGTCTGTCTGAGCTACCGTAACATGTTTTAGTGAGTTTCCTTTTAGCAAAATGCTCCGAGTGAATTTGAGTTATCTCCGGTAAACAGCAGTGTACTTTAAATGTCTGAGACTCTTATTGTGAAAGGTCAGGACAGAAGGAGTGGGTCTGGTGTGCGCTGCCTTTGTCAAGGTTGAAAGGAGCAATAAAGTTTGCTATCTTGGTCCGGCCTAAGGAGAGTAGATAGTAGAATAGTGTACGTTTTGAATATGTTCGCTCCACACAATGTGATTGGTCGATGCCTATTTATGAGGTGCAAAGCTCAGGGAAAACAAAGTGACATCGCTTTTCTGCTGTGCAATATTCACGTCCTGTGAGAAAGTACAGTTTGGAAAATGTGAATGTTTAAAAATAATAATAAATGTCTCATAAGATCCTATCTTATGATTATCTGATGAATACAAGTTGAATGACTAAGAATGCTGCGTAGCTACATCTTTATGCATTATCGTGACACAGCTGATGACAGAGGAAGAACGACGTGTTTTTAAAAGAGCGAGAGTGACCGAGAAGCTAGAAGGTGACGAAAGTAAAGAGAGATTCTAAACTACATTTTAGTCTCGTCTTTTTTGATATGTTGGATGAAACAGTTTTTTGAAATTAACACTGAAGTAAGGAGGTAGAGTATGAAGTAAGGAGGTAGAGTATGAAGTAAGGAGGTAGGAAGTCCCAATTACACCATTTTTTCTTGTCTTTAAAATGTCACTTATATAATGAAATCAGAGAGAAAGACACTGAGAAATCACCCATACTAAAAACACAACAGGGACAGACCTCCAATCTGAAGCTATTTAAGCAGCATCTCATCTTTTTGAGGTCACGTGCACAAACCAAGTAACAAATATGATGCAGACGGAGTTTAATATACTCACACCTGAACCCACAAACAGCTGATCACACTCAGAGCAGATGTTCAGAGTACTGACTTCATCTCTACTTGTGTCTGAGCTCACCGTTCACCTGCAACATGCTCACAAAAGTTCCCTTCAGCTTTGTTTTGTCCCGGGGTTTTGGTTCATTCTTTTGCTCTAACATTTTATTTCCTATGGTATATTTGTAATGTCCACTGCTTCTGTTGCCGCAGATCATCTCAGTTCTGGCTACAGATTTTGTTTTCCACACTGTGAATCAGTGTTGATGGTGGTGTGTGTTTGATGTCTTGATCTGATCACAGAACGCTGGCTTTAACTGACAGAATAATCCTGGTTCTTACTTTGTTCTGCTCATATATATATATATATATATATATATATATATATATATATAT